TATTTTTATTCTCACAATTATAGCACTTCCTATTCTTACATTTCCATTTGCCTTGATTCTTTTGATTGTCAAAATTTTTGAATTATGTGACTTACCCCTAGCTAACAAGACCTCATTTATTGCTTGTTATTCTTTTTCATTAACTTGCAAGTCTAGTTCTTTACTCTTTAATCCACTTATAACTGTTTCAAGAGTTATACTATCTCTTTCATACTTAATGGCATATTTGACATCAGAAAAATACCTAGCTAACAAGACCTCATTTATTGCTTGTTATTCTTTTTCATTAACTTGCAAGTCTAGTTCTTTACTCTTTAATCCACTTATAACTGTTTCAAGAGTTATACTATCTCTTTCATACTTAATGGCATATTTGACATCAGAAAAATACTTAGGAATGATATTCAAAAGCACAATAGGGTTGTTGTATCCATCAATATTCTTGTCTTTTTTGTTTAATATCTTGAACAAATTTAGAAAAACATCAAGATTCTCATTTATTGATTTCGTTAATTCAAGTTTAAATCTGAAGAATTTTTCAAGTAAAAACAATTTATTTGGCAAAGATATTTCCATATAGATTTCTTTTAATTTTTTCACAACGTTCTTTTGCAAAATTATGCTTTCCTACTTTTCTAATCACAGAGTCAGACAAATTCAATATTATCAAAGAATATGCATGTTCATCTAACTCAACATTTCTATCTTTAGTCAACAAAAGATTAAAATTACTATCAATGGTTATGACAACCTTTTGTGTTACTAAGATACTTTTCATCTTTTGTTGCCAAATTGAAAATTCAATTTTGCCGTCAAAAGGTGCAATAGAAACAGGTGTCATAATGCCTAAGTACCAATAAAAAACCACACAATTGCCATACAAGAATGTCACACAATTCACTAACTATCAGTGGTCAGCTACTAACTCACTCTTAGAGTAGCCAGTTACGTGATGGTAGTGTCAACACAATCACAAATAATTATATTCATCAAGATTACCCACAAAGTATTTAACCACATCTTACCCTATAACTAATTAACAAATAAAAACAAGGGTTAGCCTTCCGTTACAAAATCCAAGGTAAAGTAATATTATGATTTTCAAATAAACGTTGAACTCGTGTACGATTATAACCAAAGCTCTGATATCATTGTTAAGAAATTATTTCCCGTATGATCGATGACTCGGGTTCCTGCAACTAAATACTATAATTCTCACGAAGAAAATTGGTAGGTTAGTTCAATAAATAAATAATAAAATCAGAACAATAATAAGGAAATAGAATCAGTGCTATAATATAACAAAATATCTAGCGGCTCATATCACAGTCCACTCCGCGCTAACTCTAAACCTTCTAATGAGGAAACACACAAAGGGGAACAATTGAGGATTTTGACACCAAGTAACCAGCAATCTCACAAAAGGGAAAAAGAAACACAAAGTTTTACGGGAGAGGAGAACAAAAAAAATCTGGCAAGCACTAAATAAAGAAGAACACAAAAAAGAATACAAAGATCGCACCAAACAACTAATCTCACCCTCGGTTCCCACAGCCCTCAATTGATTCCCACACCAAAACCCACGAACACCAACCAATACTTATAGCTAAAGGGAGTAATGGGTAAACCCTAACAAAAGAGATAACAACTATACTTTATCGAGCAACCGGACGGACCGAGGAAGAAGGAGATAAGCGCTGAGAAGGTAGGAAACTGGTGGGGGATGATTCAAAATCGTGAGCAGAAATAAGAGATAAGTTAGAACCCAGTTCTGATTTGGTGAACCTAAAAAACAACCAAGTTGGGTCGGGTTGGTTTTGATTTGTACCGGGCCAGGCTAGGTCGTGTCGGGTCGAATTTTTCTAGGTCGAAATGAAATAAACCCAACACATTTATTTAGGCATTTCAACGAAGGATGTCATCAAATCCATCATTAATATTAGCATTAATTGATCGGTAACCGGAGTTCTTAATATTCAATAACTTTCAGCCATAAACGATGTAATTTATTTCATTCTTAATAATTGATTTTGAATTTTTGAATTCAAAATAATAATTTATCATGCGTATATAATATATTTTCATGCATGAACATGTTCATGTGACTTGAAATGCATTATTATGTATTATGTATGACTTGAAATGCATTATTATGTATTATGTACGCATGCAGTTACATTGTTTTTGCTATATTTTTTGTCCAATTAAATTTTTTTCTGGGTTTCAGATTTAATAAAATATTTTGTTTCGATTTAGTTTCATAGCATAATACATCTGTAAAATTTACCATTCACAAAACCCAAACCTAAAACCACAAAATACAATATAAGCATTCTACTAATATAATATGCTTTTCATACCATAGAACATTAAAAAATAAAAATAGAAAACGACCTTTACTTTACTATGTTTTTACATAAGAGTCAATTGCATTGAATAAAAAAAATTCAAATTTTACTCTGGAAATATGCAATATGCTTACTTGAAAAATAAATTTATTGACTAAAAATATCTAACGGCAACAAAGCAATATAGAAAATCTAAAAAATAATCAAAATATTGTTGTAATGATAATAATTTTTTCCTCTCCGTACTATTTATATATATTTGATATAAATTGATTCTCCATAATCAAAAGAAAAAAATATCATAAAATAATAATAGATAAATATAAAATTTCTTGAAAATCCACAATTAAATTATAATTTTATTTCACCCCCACACCGCACCAGTTATCCACTATCATAAAAAGAAAAAAATAATAATAATAATTTTATCTTCAGAAAGATGCTATTCTCTTAATTTCAATTCACAGTATCATTTTTATCATTTTCGTCGTTCACTTCAAAGTATCTCTTTCTTATTTTAAACAAAGTAACCATACACTAATACTAAAATACCTTAACTTTTACTTAAATTACAAATATACCATTACATATACAATTACTTTATACATAAAAATCAAATGACAAAAATGTCAAAATATTTTACAAACTTCTACTAACTAATAAAATATTATTATTTGTTAATCTACTACAAAATCTCAAAAAACCCATTTAAAATAAACCGGAGAGAGTATTTTTGTATAACCTCGAAATTTGTCTCGGATTGATATACGAGACAAAAAAAACTCGATGTTATTTTAAAGAGTCTCATAAATTTCAAAATTATTTTAGATAGTTTTAAAAATTTTGAGAGTTCTATAATCCGAAACGGAAATATTCACAAGCGTATGGATGAATTTTGATGTTTGTCTCAGAATTTCTAAAATAATAATAATTTTTTGAAAATAAAAATAAATTCAAAATCTTTTTCAGCAATCTGCCGAAAAAGAAGAAGGAGAAGCCACCTCCACCAACGCCGTTGCTGCTGCTGGCCGCCGCCGCTGCTGTCACTGCCAGAAAAGGAGGAAGAGAAGACGTTGTTGCCGCCGCCAATCCCGCCGTTGCCATAGCCACCGTTACTGTTTGCTCTATCAACCCCGCTGTCACTGGTGGAGAAGAAAAAAAAAAGAGGAGAAGATGTTGTTGTCAAGAAAATTTCAGCTACACTAAAAACAACGGAGAGTTCCTTCGGAAACAAAAAAGGAAAGGCAAAATGGATCAACCTGTTATCCCTAGAGTAACTTTTATCCATCGCTTTTGCTTTCTTTTCCTCTGGCTACTAAGATGTTTCTTGACACATATTTATTATTATGAGAATTAATCCTACCACTGGAGTTTCCAACAAAAGATATCTTTTCAAAAGAATAATCACCATTTTTCATATAATCTCCTCTTAATAAATAGACTCTGGAAAAAGGTAGAAGAATGGACCTATTATGGGACAATGTGTATTTCCCTCACGCTTTCTAATGAACAAGATTTTTTGAGTGTTCGAATTTATTTATAGCATGAAAATAGTTCGATTTCTCTTTATCGAGAAATCGAAAAGCCATACATGGGTTTTCTCATGTCTGCTCATATGGTGCCGGAGAAGGAGGAGTAGGAGAAGAAGAGGTTGTTGTCACCGCCAGCCCTGCTGCCACCGCTGCCTTCCTCGGCTGAGAAGAAGATGGAGGAGGAGGAAATATAGGAGTAGAAGAAGAAGAAATGATGAAAGAGAGGGGTTTTGGGGAAGAAATTATTTTGATTTTTGGGGAAGATATTATTTTTGGGAGGGGGAAAGGGTGGCGGTGATAGAGTTAGTTTTGTTTCGAAAATTACGAGACTAATAAAGGTTCAAAATTTTTTAGATTAATAAAAATTTAAAATTTTCGAGACTATTTAAAATATGTTCGAAATTTTTGAGACTAATTAAGATACTGTCGAAAGTTCTGAGATCAATAAAGATTTGAAAATTTTGAAACTATTTAAAATAAATTTCAAATTTTGGAGATCATTTAATATAATAAAATAAATATCTAATATAGCTTCAAAAATCCGCAACTATTTGAAATAGTCTCGGAGCTTTCAAGAAAGAAAAACTTAATTGATTTAATATTTAAGCAAAATAGGGTATAACTCTCATATATTTTTGAAACTTTTGGACAAAAAATGTAAAAAGAGATTTCATACAATATTTTATAAAAAATGTAGATGTCATGTCATTTTTAAAGTATAAAGAATTTATGCCGAATTTCGATTTCATACTTAGAGTTGTAAACAATTTTAACTAATATTTATTATATATATATATATTTTTCCATAATCCATTTCGAGACCATTTTCTAAATATTTTCACAAAATTCGGGTGGTGATCCCTTGCGGGATAAATAACTGCCGAATTTAATTAAAAAAAATTAAATCCCAAACAAATCATCATTGATTTACCCAAACTCATATCATAATATTAATTTTGGTGTGGCAAGGGGATCGGAATGAATGGCTTAATATGGAAGAGCAATTCACGAGGATCCTCCACGTGTGACTAATTACTTCATTTGCTCATTAAACACTGACTTGATCAATTAACCGTTTCCCAGATCTACATGCTTCATCTGTCTTTTGGTCCCCAATCAGTGACTATTTCTGGTTTACGTAATTCCTCTTTCATATCGTTTGCTGCCTTAGCCTCTTTCAATTAATCGATTAATGAAGTTTTTTGGCATCTCTGGAGGAGTTGTTCGAGCTTAACCATAAACAAGTATTTATTATATATATATATATATATAGTGAAAGAAGTGTGTAGAAGCGATTAACAGATGATGATGATGATGAGGGGAAGGGTAAAATTTGCTTTGATGTGGCTTTTGGTGGTAGTGTTGGAAAGAAGGTGCTGGTACTGTTTTGGAAGGTTCGTTGTGGAGAAGAACAACTTGAAGGTGACATCGCCAGCGTGGCTGAGAGGGGTATATGAATGCGCAATTGGGAATTTTGGGGTTCCTCAGTACGGAGGAACAATGATCGGTTCTGTGTTCTACCCCAAGGCCGACAAAGAGGGTTGCAGCCCCTTCAAGGATGCCGACATTCCCTGGAAGAATAAGCCTGGAGGCATTCCGGTCTTCCTTCTTGCGGATAGAGGAGGTGAGCAGGAGGAGGAATGGCTTTGTTTTTTCTTTGATTGTTGTTGTTATTCTCAGTGTCTCATCATTGATGGATTGTGATTCATCCCCCCCTTGCGCACAATGCAATGCTTTAATGCAGATTGTTATTTCACGGTGAAGGCATGGAATGCTCAGAAAGCGGGCGCGGCGGCGATTCTGGTTGCGGACGACAGGGTGGAGCCTCTGATCACGATGGACACTCCGGAGGAAGCGGAGTCGAAATACGTGCAGAACATCAGCATTCCATCGGCTCTGATCAGCAAGGAGCTCGGTGACAGAATCAAGAAGGAGCTAGGGAAGGGGGAAATGGTGAACATAAATCTGGACTGGAGGGAGGCCCTGCCGCATCCGGACGAGCGGGTGGAGTACGAGTTCTGGACCAACAGCAACGACGAGTGCGGATCCAAATGCGAGACTCAGCTCAACTTCGTCAGGGATTTCAAGGGGGCAGCGCAGATTCTGGAGCAGAAGGGGTACACGCAGTTCACTCCGCATTACATCACTTGGTACTGCCCGCAGGCTTTTGTGCAGAGCCAGCAGTGCAAGTCGCAGTGCATCAACCGTGGGCGGTATTGCGCCCCCGACCCCGAGCAGGACTTCAGCAGGGGATACGATGGCAAGGATGTTGTGCTGCAGAATCTGCGCCAGGCGTGCTTCTTTAAGGCCGCGCACAAGATCGGGAAGCCATGGCAGTGGTGGGACTATGTCACCGACTTTTCCATCCGATGCCCCATGAAGCAGAACAAGTACAACAAGGAGTGCGCCGACCAGGTCATTCACTCCCTCGGTATGTATGTATGTATTGATATTGGTATTGATATTGATTGGTTAGCTCAATTGAAGAAAGAAGGAAAGAAAGAAAGAATGAATGAATAACAAGCGTTTGGTTTGGTTTGGGTTGGGTTGGGTTGGGTTGTTGCAGGGTATGATGTTAAGCAGATCGACGAATGCATGGGAGACGTTGAGGCGGATGTGAACAACCCAGTTCTCAAAGCAGAACAGGAAGCGCAGGTACGTTGGATTTGATTCAGTTCAGTTCAGGGCATCAATTAAATAAGCAGAGCAGAGTAGAGTGGAGTAGAGTAGAGCAGAGCGACTCGCTAAACTCTACATTCATTCATTCATTCCTCAGATTGGAAAGGGCACTCGGGGAGATGTTACTATCTTGCCAACTCTTATTATAAACAACAGGCAATATAGAGGTAGCTACAAGTAGTTCCCTTCCCTACGGATCATATATATATATATGTTAATTTAATTGGCGTTGAGAAAAAACACACGCAGGCACAGGCACATGATTAGTTGAATATGGTGATTTCTTGCAGGTAAGCTGGACAAAGCAGCAGTTCTGAAGGCCATTTGTTCAGGATTCGAGGAGACTACCGAGCCTGCCATTTGCCTCACAAGAGGTCGTACCAGTAGCACCTTGACCTTCCACATACACACATGCATACATACATACATACAATACATTGCATTAATAAAAGAAGGAAATACTTAGCTACTAGCTAGCTAGCTAGCTAATCACACGCTAGCCATTCCTTTTTTTAAAAAATTAATTGATTAATTAATCAATCAATGTGTTTGATGATATATGTTGGAACAGATATGGAAACAAATGAGTGTGCAGAGAACAATGGAGGATGCTGGCAGGACAAGGCTGCCAATATTTCTGCATGCATGGTATTATATATATATATATATATCTATATATAATAATAATAACCACTACTCAATGTCAATGGGTACAAATACATGTGCAGGATACTTTCAGGGGAAGGGTGTGTCGTTGCCCCATTATGCAGGGAGTTAGATTCGTTGGTGATGGCTACACTCACTGCGAAGGTAACATACTGTATATATATGCAGTCTCCTGCATACAATTATTATTATTAAACAAGTAGAAAAATTGTTTTGCATAAGAACATCTTTCCCAATTTCTCCTCACTCACTTGTAATAAATATATTTTTGTTCACTTGAATACTTTAACCTGCATACACTACTTAAATATCAAGAGAATTATTATGTACATCAAGACTATTGATATTCTTTTCTCTTCACCTTCATTTTTCTCTTGGTGCAAATTCTACAAGAGAGTTTTATAACCGCTAATTCAAGTTCAATTCTCCTTAATTTGCAACATTTAATTTGCAGTAAGTTCAATTCTCCTTAATTTCCATGTCCATGTCCATGTCCATGTCCTTCACTTGAGAGAGTTAAATGATTGCCTTCCTTCCATGTCCATGTCCTTCCAAAGGGAAAGTGAAATGATTGCCTTCCTTCACTTGAGAGAGCAGGGTACCCCTGATTGGATTTGCTGACAGTTGCCCTGATTCTCTTGTGATGTATTGAATTTGTATTAACTAACGTAGGAGGTCGTTGAATGGATATAACGAGAAGAAAATATACAAATACATACCTAACTTATATTTATTCGATTATTATTATTATTATTATGATATTCCAAAATATTTGGTGTTGGTGACAGCTTCTGGAGTATTGAGATGCGAAATTAATAACGGAGGCTGTTGGAAGGAAAGCAAGGACGGACGGACATATTCTGCGTGCAACGTGAGATAATTGATGCCCAAGAGTTTCTTCTTCTTATATGATTTTAAATTAATGTTGAATTAGATTAAAGAGTAACGTGTGTGTGTGTCCAGGACGAGCACAGCAAAGGTTGCAGGTGCCCGCCAGGATTCAGGGGGGATGGAGTTGAGCGGTGCAAAGGTAACTAAAATAATAACACCAAAAAATAAACATGCATGAATATAAGAATGTATCATTAAATGTGTGGGGAGTGTGGACAGACATTGATGAATGCAAGGAGAAGGTAGCGTGCCAATGCCCAGAATGCAGATGCAAAAACACGTGGGGAAGCTACGAATGCAGTTGCGGCGGCGATGGTTTACTGTACATTCATGAACATGACACGTGCATTAGCAAAGACTCGAATGCGGATATCACTGGGTGGGGTCTATTGTGGGTCGTCATTCTTGGCTTGGCCGTCGCTGGACTTGCTGGATATGCCGTCTACAAATATAGAATCAGGGTACCTACCTACACACACACATATATACATATATATATATATATATAATATAAATCGATCTGCATAATTATGATTATTATGATTATTATTATTATTATTATTAATTGTCTATTTAATTAATTATGCAGAGATACATGGACTCGGAGATCCGCGCAATCATGGCACAGTACATGCCCTTGGATAATCAGGGGGATGTACCTAATCACATACCCCACCCGGTTTGATTCACTTCAAATCATATATTTTCAGCTGCTCTATTCTCTCGTCATCGATTCATTGTATTGTTGAATTGATTATTTAGAGAGAGAGAAACACAGAGATAGAGAGAGACTCTAGACCGAATATTGTTGATTCATAAAGCCTTCAATTTTTCAATCAATGATTGCAAATATACATCAATATTCTATTTCGGATTCAGCCACCATGTACCATAAGAGAGAAAAATAAATATTACACGTTCAAACGCATATTGGGTGGGAGATTGTACTGTGTACAACTTTAGGCCAACATAAGTATTGCTATTCGGACTGGCCAAATGGTTGAAAATTGTTTGTGCAAAGTCTCAACCAAACATTCTTGCGCTCGACTCCAAACGAGGAGTATCTAGTATCCAACTCTTTCCATGCCCTTGAGTCACAAGGGTGACATATCTCATCAATTTTTACATGTAGATAATCCGCATGCCAACACATATGTAAGGGAGCAACACTCTCTCATTCTTTACAGTAGTGTAAATTAACATTCTCCTTCCAATATAGTATGCAACCAAACTAGCAACAATCAATTTTCTTACACAGTAAGCCTAATCCATCCGAGTGGATGACAGTTGTGTTCATTCATGAGGAAATATCATTGGCGATGCAAGTAAGCCTTTGAAACTTCGCGTTTGTTATCTCGCGTCAAGTGGCCGACATTCTCTGGCTGGCCACAAGCAATGAAATGGCCGCCATTCGGAAAAAAGAGAACCAACAATGTTCGAAAACTACCGAATTTTATTTTTCTTTAATTGTCCAATCCCAAATGCTGTTGGCTCTGATGCAAAGCTAGAATCCCATTTTTCAGCCTATGATAGCCCCAAATAAGGTGATTTTTGTTTTTACTTTTCCTTCATCTACAAATTCAGAAGTGCCCCCAATACAATTTGGACAGATTCAAGCGCTTCAGATAGACCATTCGACAAGTTCAATGGTTGTTCCAAATCATTGTGGTAGCCTTGACGGATTTGGAGAGCAAAGGGTGTATACATACAAAATCGCAAAGGAACAACCATGCAAACAACATCTCAATCCAAAAAATTATCTTTTTTTTTTTTATTTACAATTTCTTTGCATTTTCTTGTTTTAATTTGTAGAATAATGTGACTTGATCTTCAATCAAATACAACTTGTTTGCGCCGTTCATTCTTCGATTAATTTACATTTGTCTTTCCCAAAATTTATCTCATACGATTGGAGATTCATATTTCCCGGGAACCCACCGATTCTCTTGGCGAGAAGTTTTAGGATGAAAATATCGAATTGTTCCAAACTCACTGCAATGTTTCCGAATTTAGAAATAGTTAATTATAGGAAAAATAGCAAAAAACCCCTCCGTGGTTTTCCAAATTTGCTGAAAACCCCTCGTGGTTTAAAATTCCAAAAAGCCTACTTGTGTTCTCCAAAATGTTGGACACTCTCCTCCCTCTCTAAATTTGACTAACGGACGTTAAATTTTATCAGAATTGACTGTAATACCCTTATTTATATATATTTTAACTTATTTCTCTCTTTTCTCTTCTTTCTTCTTCTCTTCTCCCCAACAGCACCGATTCTTCCATCGTCTTCTTCTTTTTCCCCAAATTCTTCTTCACACGCGCACCAAGTTTTTTTCCAATTTTTTTTCTTTTTCCCCAAATTCTTCTTCACACGTGCACCAAGTTTTTTTCCAATTTTTTTTCTTCTTCCCCAATATTTTTTTCACGCGCTGCAGTCCCACCAAGTTCTTTCTTTTCTTCTTTTTTTCCTAGATTTTTTTTCCTTCTTCTTCGTCTCCAATTCTTCTTTGATGAATGAAGAATTGAAGAATAATTAAAAGAGAAAGAAAACGACGGGCAAAAGCAGGCTGGAGCAAGGAAGAAGAGAAAGAGAAGAAAGAAGAGAAGGGGAAGAAGAAAAAACGGGTTGGACCAGGTTTTTTCTTTTTTTTTTCCTCCAATTTTCTTTATTCTTTCTCTCTTTTTTCCCCAATTTTCTTTTTCTTTATTTTTGCTCTCCAATTCTTCTTGGTTTTTTTCTTTTTTTTTTCTTCGATTTTTTTTCTTCTTTCTCTCATTTTCCCCATTTTTTTTTTATTTTTCCTCCCCAATTCTTCTTTCTTCCTCATTTTTTCTTCTGCAACCAACCAGTAGTGCCGAGTTCTTCCCCTTCTTCTTAGATTGATTTAAAATCTGGATATCAAATTGATTTATTAAATTTATGGTTTGGTAATAGTATGGAGAAGAATATAGAAGAAGAAAGAATAAGGAAGAAGAAGTTGTAAAAAATAGGCACCAGGGTATTTTAATTATTTTATACAGAAATATATCAGTTTATGGACCAATTATCGCATAACAGGCGCGTGACATACAACTGCCGTTAAATCCTAACCGATGGGGGATTGTTTTGCAACATTTTGGAAACCACAAGTAGGTTTTTTGGAGTTTTAGAACCACGAGGGGTTTTCAGTAAATTTGGGAAACCACAGGGGTTTTTTTTTGCAATTTTGCCTTAATTATATATATAATATACATTTCACTTTATCACATCGCATCACTCAAATAAAAAAATAAATATGCATTTATCTCTCTAATCACATCACCCAATTTCCAAATTATCTCAAATTACCTACTTAATTGTGACACTCCGGCCCGCAAGCCACGCAAAGCCCGGCGTATCGAAATCGCAGACTGGCCCCACAGGTCAACACGAGTCCTTCCATGACGCTTCTGTCCTCACTCACACGCACCACGCTTAACTCAAGAGTTCTTTCGGTAGGGCTTCCGAGAAGAAATGTGTACATTGTTGACATGAGTAGTCTGTTCAATTTATTTAATTACTATTCAATCTCGGATAACCTGACATTGGCTCATTCACGGGAGTTGCCCTAGCATTGGCCCAACTCCGGCTCTTCTAAATATGCAATAATCCCTATCTTCCAATCGATCGAGACTTCTACCTTCGTATTGACACTACAAATGGCCGCACCTGACACCCGCCTATAAGCCTCTTGGGCTAAATCATCCGCATGACAATTTTCTAACGATTTTCTGCCGTCGGGATATATTCAATAATGACCTCCGAAATCCTTGACAACAACTGATATACCAAAGACCTGTATTGTCGTAAATAAGGGAAATTGCAAGCATAACATCTTGTTACCTGATTGATTACCAATTTTGAATCCCCTTGGATTACCACCGACTGGACTTTCTTCGCAACTAAAGCCTCAAGCCCTAAATTCAAAGCTTCATATTCAGCCGAATTATGAGTCATTGCCTCCTACTGTAACTGTAATCTCAACTTTTGACCATTAGGCCCTTCCAGAATTACTCCCGCTCCCGATCTTTCTCCTGATCTCGATCTATCAAAAAACATGTTCCAAGTCTGAGGACCTATGTATGACGTGGGTCCAGCATCCCTTTGTCCATCCTCTGTAAATTCCGCTAGAAGATCAACAATTGCTTGCCCTTCACAACCTTCAGAAGTCTGTATTTTAATGAAAATTGGGCTAATTTAATGGCTCATTTCATTAATCTTATTTGCATGATAGGTCTATATAGAATCAACTTGATCAGATCTACCTTGGATATGACTTCCGTTTCTCTGGGGAGAATGTAATGCTTCAGCTTGGTACACGCAAATACCAATGAATAACACATCTTCTCTGGCATGGTGTAATTCAACTCGGGCCCACCCAAAGTCTTACTTAAGTAATAAATCGTCCTCTCATTTCCATCTTCCCAATCATGTGCCAAAAAAAAAAAAAAAACTTACCACATCATGAGTGTTTGATAGGTACAGCTTAAGGGGCCGGACCCCTATTGGAGGCATCAAGCCGGTGTTTCGGCCAAATCCATTTTGATGGCTTCTAAAGCATCATGTTGTTCGGCTCCCCAAACAAAGTCGGACGCCTTTGCCCGTTACAATTTTCTAATTGGCTTCATTTTCCCTATGGCATTGGTTATGAATCTTCACAAATAATTTACCTTCCCAAGCAGACTTTGAACCTCTTTGACCGACCTAGGAGGACTAATGTGACCATCATGACGGAATCAGACCCAATCATAATTCCTCCGGGACCAATCACTAAAAGCCAAGCCCGTAAATTTAAATTGGCAATTACAAAGTGTGCCAAACTTCAAATGGATGCCACTGCTGAACTCTAGACCGAGGATCAAAATAAATTATACATTCTTCTGGAATTGGACCACAAGTCCCAAGGACCATAAGGCCAAGAGCACCTTACAAGTCATTGGACCTCCTATAAATTACTATTCCTAATTGAAGGGATCCCGTGAATCAATATCCCCTAAATGAAGAAATTCCATAGATCAAGGGATTACCAATAATCATGGGATTGCCATGAATTATGGGTCAATAATACTAAATAAGGCTGATTATAATAACTATCCCCTATATGATTTTATTTTCTTTAAGAGTGTATTTTCTTGTTTTAATTTCCATGGTTCCTCTATAAAAGGTCTCATGATTATCATTGTAAGGATTATTCATTCAACAAAGATATTTTATAAATTGGTTCTTATTTCAAGAGCGATTATTGTGCATTTTCTAAAGTGTAATCTTGAGTGATTCGATTACATCTTCATATCCCCAAATCGAGTTGTTTCAAGTGATTTGAAACAAATCGTGGCCTCTCAAATAATACTGGAACTATTCTTTCCTTAGCTTGTATTGTCAGCATGTTTAGAGAATTGTGAAACGTGAGCTTGATCTCTCGTGTTGCCTTCCCGACTACCTATCAATTCAAGAGAGTCTAGTTTATCCCTATTAATATAGATATATATATCTTTCCATCCATCCATCCCTTGTTCTATCCAAATATTTCCAATATTGTTATTACATATTCCTATGGAATTCAATCCAAAATATCATCCTTGGCAAGTTCGCATCATATATATTAGAACTAGTTGATAGAATCTTTTGATTGATATCACGGTTCTTATTTAAAAACAAAAAATTTTGAAAAAAAAAGAAAAGAAAAAAGTTCCAAAAAAGAAAGTCTGAAAAAAAATCCGAAAAAAAAATGTTTATAATATTTCTCCTATTTCTATTCGATTATCTAAAGGTCTAATTACTTGTGATTTTTACTTGAAATTTCTTGATTTCGGAATTGCATTAGGTCGTTGTCAATTTTATTTAAGTGAGTGAAACACGAGCGGAGTGAAAGAGTGTTTGT